TCTCATCCTTCACTCACGGTATCCCCGGTATCTCATCTCGGACTCGAGAAGTCGCGCTTGAATGACTAAATGGAATCGAAGTGAAATGGAACGGCCAACCGCCCGCCCGCCCGTGCCATTCACGTTCGTGCGTCGCGTTTCGCTCCCGTGTGTGTGTGTGTGTGTGTGTTTGTGCGTTTGTGTGTGCCCGACTCCCGAAAAGCCAAGCGGCAACAATTTCCGGCGACGGGGCGCGCGCACGGTGCCGATGACTTTCGTGACTTAAGCCTTTCTGGCTGTCACGCGGCCGTAATTATGCGGAGAGAGCTGAATGCTCTCACTGAATGACTCGGCAGCGGTCGGATGAATACGCGGGGGTAAACTGCCTCCATTACCGAGACACACCGTATTATTATATTATCATGCCACATTATATACTATGTATCTTCCACGTGTGTATTCGCGTCTGTGATGTCTGCCGCGATTCGGTGATTTACGGGTACTCGTTCGGGACGTGTTGTTCTTCTCGCCTTCGAGAACGGACTGAGCACTCGCTGCATCTTAATCGGTCCAAAGGAGAGATATGCAGCGGGTTCGAGCCTGCCGGTTCTCGATGAGTCCACATCTCTTCATAGAGCTAACCGGAAACCTCGCTTTTTGTTTCAGATCTGCCGAAGCTTGTGGTCGATGCGGTTCATGGGAGAGACACAGTTTCGGTGGATGCGGATGCTGCACTCCGGAGGATCCGGTTCGTGTCAAGAAGGTTCTTCCGGGGGTTTGAAGGTAATATTTTACAGATCCCGTCTGTATTCTTGTACTTGTCTCTTTGAGATCAAGGACGGCAAAACATGGTTATCTGAAGAAAAGTTCTCGAGTGGCAACGCGAAAGGTTGACACATTCACCTAACCTAATCTTATTCTGTGCGGAGAAATCAGCTCAAACAAGCGGTGATTTATGAAAATGACCATTTAGAATTAGGAAGTATATACAGTGACCGGGAAGTTTGATCAATCCTTTTTCATTAATCAATCTGGCCGAGCAAATTGGGAAGTATGCGTATCAACCGGTCATTATGTATAATCCTCAATTATTCAAATTTCTCGTTACACATGCAGCGGTTCAGATGCCGCGTCGATCAGCGTCGGTGAGGTAATTTATCGCACGCAGGTTGCGTATTTATGACAATGCGAGATGACTTGACGAAGAGAATTTAGCGACCCGTAGCACGCGTCCGCAGTATCTAATCTGATTAACATAATAAGGTAAATCAACGTAAAATGATGTGTCTCACGTTGGTGAGGCTGTAATAAACGGGAATGGAGGGGGGAGAGGAAAGGAAGAGGATAGTGGAGTTTATGGGGGCGATGGCTTTAATCGTCGATTTTACGTCTCGAAGATATATTTTTTTCCATCTGATCGCGCGGTAATTGGGCATAACTGCGCGGAATGTCGGCGAAGACGCCCCGTAAAGCGCGTAAACCGGCAGGAGCCTCGCTCATGGTTGTTCAATTATCGGTCATTCGGCGCGGCAACATCAGTGCGTCACGAATGCGCTAATTATATTACATTCACACACACACACACACGCATATTTTCTCTTTACTACATAACCATAACTAGATAGAAAGGTACTCAAATAACTTTCTCGAAGCGATCCCAGCTCACGATAGGGTTGACAGTTCACGGGGATGTTCCGTTCATCTTCTTTTCGGCGCTACCTCACATGTCTCCGGCAACGAAAATCGAAGAAAATGATAGCGCACGCCGGGGTGATATAATGCCCCACCGAGGCGGCCGCTGGCGTCTTTTCTCACACTCTCTCTTTCTAATGGAACGGAACGTGGTGAACAGCGCGCCGAAGCGCGTCGGATTCCGGCTGACTCGCAGCGAAGAGACTTGGAAAAGAACTCGCCTCTAATTATCCTACTGAGCCATATAGTAGCGGGCGCACGCGTGCGCCGCGTATGTGCGTGCGTGCGTGCGTGCGTGCGTGCGTGCGTGCGTGCGTGCGTGCGTGTAACGCTGGCGCGCGCGACCGAGAGGAGGACCGACCGGACTTCAAGGAGAAGAGCGGCTCCGACGCAACGGAATATATTATAGACTCGTTCCTTTCGACTTACGCCAGGCTGAAATCTCGCTCTGGGCTTCGTGTTAACTCAAGTGTCCCTGAAACAGACTATGTGCGAGAAGAGCCGCCAGTACGCGCGCCTTCCTTCCAGTTGACCTCTCAACCGTCGACCTCCTCTCGCGTCTCTTTTTATCTTTCTTCTTCTTTCGTTTCTCGCGAGGCTCAGCCCGTGAATTGGATTAGGGACTGCCGCGGAGCGCGGACTCTCGCAGCGAGATTTAGTCTTACTCGCGGTTGCGAACGATCGTGTGGTCGCGAAGCGAACCTGCCAATCTGTGTGCCGTAAAATGGCAGCGCTTTGCACGGATGCGAATTTTCGTGAGGGTCGCGCAGGAAATTGCCTGGGATCTAATTGGGGTTTCTCGAAATCCGATTTCCTGAAATCCACGCTGGTTCCAAGCTTAGAAGCGCGACGCTTGAGACACGCGATTCCGGAGCTTGGGAAGCTCCGAACTGCCCTGGAAATATGTGTGTCTGGCGAGATCCCGGGAAAATTTCGCTGCGGCTTCTCGCATGACGAATGTTGAAGATCGAGGGATTCGTACAGACTGATTTACCGTTGATCCCTTCGTGTCCTCGCGTGTCGCAAATTCGAGTAACGGGGGTATCCAATTACTCGAGATCTGGGAATATCGGCAAGCGTAAATTTTATTATACACACAGCAGTTTCGCGCCTCGGCTCGACACCGGCTAGCCGACACGTTGCATTTTGCGAGTCAATCGCGGCGCACAATTGCGCGTCCCGAGCTTTCACGCTGATTTAGTCGTTTTGAATCGTTTGCGGTCCCGAAGATCGCGAGGCACCACCGAAAGGGCCGCACGACAGAGAAATTACTGTGATTCCCTCGTGTTATTTACTCAAGAGGAACCACAGCGACTCTGACAGGGGCAATCGGGACCAGCTCCGCCTCGCAGCACGGCGGTGTCGGTCGACTCGGTTCTTTTTCAAGCGCGAACGATCTTTCCCCTCTTTTTATTTCGCTCGCTTCCCTATTCTTCCTTCGTTTGCTCCTCCTTTATTTCCAAGAGCAGCAACCGACGACCGATACGGAGCGATTGAATTGAGATAGCTATTGGTGTGCAGCAACGATGCAATGTATGATTTTACGAGCGACAACAACAGGCAGCCTCTTGCTGAGACGATCTCGTTGGACTCGCGAGAGGAGAATATCGGGCGAGCGCGAATCTTATCCGACTCATAAGACGTATTCGTAGATGTTGAGAGGAAATAGATATATTCGTAATAATATGTTTCCGAAATAAAAATCATGCACGCGTACACATACGAGAGAGAGAGAGAGAGAGAGAGAGAGAGAGAGAAACAGAGATGCGACAGGTGCTGTATTCTCTTTCGCAGTCGCTTTTGATAATTTATAGCCTCCAAACGAAACAAAGTTGTGTGTCGCACATCTGCGGAATTGGATGCGTATAATTGTCTATAATTTACAGCGGAACGAGGTGCATTTCAGTTAAAAATATACACACATGGTGGCAAGCGCAAAATATGGAAGTTGAAAATGAAAGAGAAAGAGAGACCACGTGCGCGGCGCGTTCGTCATCTCGATATCTTCAATGTGTGTGTGTGTGTGTGAGTGAGATTGAGAGAAGTAATAAAAGTTTTCAGTTTGAAATTAACAGAGGCTGTAACGTGTGCACGCACGATCTGATAAAGTTCGCACGGCGCACGGCGCACGGATGCGAGTGCGAGATATGGGCGAAACTCGTCGCGAATTGTCGGGACGAATATGCAAGTTATTAGGGTGGGGCGAGAGGGAGGGAGGAGAGTTGTGTCTGCGAAAATAATTTCTACGGATTATTCGTAACATCATTCGATATATTTAACGAGTCGTCGTCGATTATTTACAGAGATATGCGCGATACTTGGGTACTCAGGTAAAATAGTACCCAGTACTCGCTCGGGTATAGCCGAGCGTTGACAACACTAGTAATTATTTGTACATTGCGTCGTGAATTATATGCGATGAAGAATCGCGGGTAGGATCACGCGCACAGTTCCGCGTCCGGCGAGCCTGAGATGCGCAACTATACGCTCATACGCGTGGACAAATTTGGCCGACGTGCTCGAGCGTGTGTGCGTTTGTACCAGCCGCGACTTTACAAGTGTGGATAGGGTTTTAACCCAGACAACACCCGAGGATCCGAGTGGTAAGCCGAGTAGTAAGCCGAGTAGTGTTCGGCTCTTCGGGCCCATCCGGCTCGTACCGATAATTTTAAAGGGGGAGTTTACCTTAATAAAAAATAAAATAAAATAAAACGCTACGCGTAGTAATTATGAATAATAATAAAACGCGCATCGTCGGATCTCGATTTCGCGGCAGCTTCGTTCGTCCGTCGCGAGTATTCTCTCGGGACGCACGTGCTGATCGTCGCGCGACGATCGGCGCAGCCGTTGAAGCAGGCGGTTCGACTTCGGAGTTGTGTGCGAGTGGAAATTTAGAAAATGATCAAGAGGCCGAAAGAAATCAACCACACCTCCGCGGTGCACTCTCGAAATCTATCTTCTCGGCTGCGCACCGTTCGTCGCGGGACGCCCTGTATAAATAATAAATCAATTGCCGATCGGGCGCGCCCGATCTTCCCGAGAGGGCACGTTCGCTCCCTTGGCCCCGACGGTATTACGAGGAAATGTTCCGGCGCTAAAATAAGTTACGAAAGCAGGAAAATACCACAGCGTTTAGAATTGCAATGCGTTCGTTGTGCAGCATTCGGCGGCGCGCCCAATGACGGTTCAACCACGTTTCAAGGTACTTTGGAACTCGGCGTGAATCTCGAGAAAGAGTCTTGGACATGTCGATACGGACATCGCTCTGATAGAGAGAGAGAGAGAGAGAGAGAGAGAGAGAGAGAGAGAGAGAGAGAGAGAGAGAGAGAGAGATAGTGATAATACATTTTCGGAGGATTTCATACATCGACCATGTATCCGCTCTGGAGGTGATAAATACAGAAATACTATGACTAGATCACAGCAATTGCTTCCGGTGGTTCTTAATCTTCCCCTGTACGATTCATACTTGCTTTCGACCCGATCCTCCTCTTGCACTCGTTGCTGTAACAGAAAGCGGAGAGGAATTTGTCAGACGAGCGTGATAAATAGTCGTAATGAGACGTCGATCATTTTTCATTGGACGAACGAACAAGTCGACAAACTTTGACGGTGATTTTTTTACGCGATCTCGTGGTATGACTCGAGGAGACGTTTCGGAGATTCGAGGCTCGTGCTCTCAACGTGGTATCGATTCCTCCGAATAGATCACGGGTTTCTCGTCGGTGGAGAACGATGAAAAAGAGGTCCTGCAGGTATACGAGATGGAAGAAGAAGTAGGGGATGATTTCAGGTAAGGGCGGTTTTACTCGAGGGGCGTCTCTCTCTCTCTCTCTCTCTCTCTCTCTCTCTCTCTCTCTCTCTCTCTCTCTCTCTCCGTGAGTAAAAGAGGGAGGGATGGAGATAGGTGAGAGGAGGGAAAGGGGAGAGTAAGAGAGAGAGAGAGAGAGAGAGAGAGAGAGAGAGAGAGAGAGAGAGAAGAGAAGAGGGCATCGTACCGGTTTAAAAACTGACAAACGAAGGACGGGAATATCCTGAAAGATGCATTCAGGTTAAACGCGGCAAACGAAATCGTCCTCATAAAAAGGAGAGGAGGAACGGGCGGCGATGAAGAGAGACGGCGGCGAGGAAAAGATGAGAGACAGGGATGGGCGAAGACACGTTGAGAGATCCGAAGGGATTTGACGAGAAAGTTACGTCCATCAAGATTAAGAGTCGAATTTGAACGCGCGCGTTTTCGGAGACGATCGATTTTCTACATCGTATTTGCGCACGTGCGACTTGTTTTCGAATTTCTTATTTCTTCTTCTTTTTTAATTAAAAGAGAAGATGTTATCGCAAACTTGCGGAGAAACTCGAAAGAAATGTCCAAAAGTACCAGAAGAATGTCTCGATGGATGATCTCAGTTATTTAAGATCTTTATGTTGCGCTTTAGGCATATCCTCGCATACATAGCTGCTTACAAAAAAAAGAAAGTCACTCAAAGGATATTCCAACTTTCCAAGTGCAAAAAAAGAGATTTGTGCCGTCACTGTTAATGAAAAAAAGCGCTTTATATAATGTACATATTCGTTGAAGAAAAAGAGATGTCCTCTCCGAAGATCGGATCGACCGACTTGAAACGTTGCCGAAGAGTAATGGAGCGGAGGGAGGAGGAGGAGGAGGAGGAGGAGGAGGAGGAGGAGGAGGGGGGAGGAAGGGAGGAGGAAGGGGCGGTAGGGCCGGAAAAAACGGTAGAAGAGGGACCGACACTCACGTACACACGTATGTGCATTAACGCACCGTGAAAGAAATCGCGGCACAAAAGCGTCGCTCCTCGAATGTATACGCGGTGCCCCTCTGAATGGAGTCTGCGATTTGAATGGACGGGGTTTCAGCGAGGGGTTTGCGCGCGCCATTGTAAGGGGCAAGGTCACAAATCTAGTCGGAAATTTCTTTGGGCTTCCCCGCGGTAACATAGCAGCGAGAGGAGATATTCACCCTTGGATGAAATTTACGGTCGTCAACGGGCGAGGGTGGTGTGGATGGAAGAAGAGAAACATTTTGGCGAATCGAAGCCGAACGCGCTCCGATTGGACGAGATTCGATTGGCTCGCCGACTGTCAATGCGCGAATGTCGTCGAACGGCACAATTGATTGTCAGTCTCGTTATCATCTCTCAGTCATCAGACTCTAACTACTTCGAAGCAGACTTTGGCAGGGGTTAATTGTGCTAAAATTATCCTGGAAGAAGGGACTATTATATGTGTGGACCGACGTAACGACGACGGTCAGCTACCGAACCAAATCACAAAGAGTTACTAGACGAGTACAACGAGCAGAGTTTGATGTTCACAGGGCAACGCGACGTTATCTTCGTATGTATCATATAACACGAATCGCGAGCCACGAGTTGCAAGAGTTACAAGAAAGAAAAGTAGAAACAATGAGAGATCGGAACACTAACCTTGAGAAGGAAGAGCCCGCGACGAAATTGACGTGAACACGTCTTCATTGACTCTGTTGCCACCAGGTGATGGCGTCCAGCAACACCTCGTCCTCCGGGCTCATCGGCTCGTAATTGTCGTAACTGTCGGAATGCATCGCATAAAGCGTGCCCGACGTGCTGTAGCCTTGGCTCCCGGCCGACGAGGTCTCGGAGACGAAGCTCGGCGTTGGAGAACTCGACGCCTCCGAACACGTCGTAGGGACGAAGGTCGGGCTTGGGTTCTGCCTGAGGTGTTGGTGCCGATGTAGGTCGGATCCGTGTGGACTATCGTGATGGTGGACCTCCCCGGTGACGCTACCGCGTAGTCTGAGCTCCGCCGGATGATGGCCAGAGTCGGAGCCGACCCCGTTTTCGGAACCACACATAGGCGAGTTGGAGGACGTTGAAGAAGTCGGTGAGGATCCACTGGACTCGTTGTTGCCGTCGTGCTCCTCCAGCAGACGCTTGAGACTCCTGATGTACTCCACCGCCATTCTCAAGGTCTCCACTTTCGACAGCTTCTTGCTGCCGGCTCTGGAACCACCATGAGTCCCGGCCGTGTTACTCCCTAGGGACTGCGCCACGCTCTGGGGTATGTGTTGTCTCAGGGTGGCGAATCCGTTGTTCACCTGCTTCACTCTGTTACGTTCGCGCGCGTTTCGCCTGGCCACCGAGGCGGGCTGATGCGGCACCGTACTGTAGGGTCCAGTGGGCTGACCGTAGATTTTGGATCGCTTGCATCCGTGCTGCATGGTGCCGCTATTGTTGTTGTTGTTGGCCGGCATGCTATTGGTGGAGACAATCACGTTGCCACGATGGGTCTGCGCGCTCGAGGTGCCGTGAAGGCCGTGGTGGTGATGCTGCTGCTGCACGCTCAGCATGATGGGCAGGACGCTCTCCTCCTTGAGCCCCATTAAGGTCTGGCCCGAACCCCCCCACCACTCGGGAGTAGAAGTTGTAGCAGCGCGTGCCAGGCGACCTTGATGCGACTCCGCTGATCGATATATCGATGGAAAACCGCGCGTCGAGGTGGGCCCGATGCAACCTCGTTAACTACACCTCGCAGTACTCGCGCGATCCTGAAGGTTGATAAACAACGGACGTATGAGCGTGTGTGTGCGTTTATTCGACCGAACTCGATAGAGAAGCGTGGGAAGTAATATAAAACCGCACCCTCGATGCTGTTGGTACGGTCCTGGCTCCCGAAATGCCTAGCTAAGGAGGGTTCGGGGCCTTATATAGCTGGGGCGGGCACGCGCCTATCCCCTCCACGAACCCTCGTACTCGATCCCGGGTCCTAAACCCTCGTCTTCTCCCTCTTCCCCGTCCTACCGGGACCCGCAACGCCTCATACCCCCGTGATTCCCCACTACTGCGGCCCCAAAGGCCCTATACTGCCCGAGATTCTCATCTTCGATCGTTCTCGTACGGGTACGTCGCATTGGTGCCAACTAACCCCGATTTTGTTCGTCGACTGACTGATTATTAGACCGAGATGCGTCGTTGTCCGATTGGTACACAACGTCTGTCGTGTGCTCGCAATAGTTGACGACTCGATCGCACGCGTGACACGTGCGAAAGGCGATTGGGCCTTGTTTCGCGTTTCACGCAGAGGAGCGTTTCAGAGAACAATTCTGCAAATTGTCGAGCGGGATAGCGAGAATTCATTCGCGATCTACGAGATCCATTCGCAAGGAGGCCGCTCTGTCCGCTTATGCCGCCCGGTACATCGATGAGGCTCATTGTCCGTCGAGGCCGTCAATCGCCGAGGGCCCTGCGCCGCTCACTTGAGAGACACTGGCGCGCATATACGAAGGGTCCACATCCCCACCGGTCTCGCGGTGTCTCGGGGATCGAAATTTGAACAGTTACCGGGAGAAAGAAAAGCTGGTTCGGGGGCCCGCGAGCGAGTGGACGGAAAGAGACAGCGAAAGAGCGGGGTGTAGAGCACGAGCGACGAGGACAGAAGCCGAGGAAGAAGAAGAAGAAGAGGAAGAACGACGACGGGGAACAGGGAGTGGGAGGAGATGGAGAGGTCTGCGGCTGGAGAGAAGCTGTGCAGAAGACGAAGAGACGTATCGGAGGAGGGTAAGGGAGCCCGGTGGCACGGAACGTACGTGTACCCGAGAGGGGCGGGGCGGGGCGGTGGGGAGAAGCTGCGCGACGGCAGACGAGTATAGCGATGGGCACGATTGCGGAACGTGTTTCCGAGATACGGCACGCGTTGTAAACACGTTGCGAGCAGCAGCGCAGAATGGCACACGGTCAAACATCGTCTCGGTAAACGAACGGATCACAATCGGACCTTCGTCACCCGAGTACTAACGTACCAAGCCACTGTTCTCCTGGAACTCGTCGATGCGGCGAAGAACCTAATCTCGCGGAATTGCGACAAACATAATAATGCGAAGAGAGCAGCAGATAGGATATCTGCGTCATACAAATATGTGTGCATCAATATCCGGAGGATGCATCGAGCCTTTGGATACATCGAATCGTCGGTTATCCTTATCGCGGCGCGGCGCGACCTGAAAGGAAGTTATCGGTGGAGAAGGAACGACGATATATACCGGCGCTCGCTGCCATCACTAGCAAAGAAAACGCGTATGACGATCTTGGAGAAGGGGAAAAGACGCGAGCCGTCCTCCCTTCCTCGCGTTTGTGGCGCGCGCCTACTCCCATCCGCCGGGTCTTCCCCTCCATTCGTCCGGTTTTATCCTCACCGGCCGGAGCGGCCGTACGCGTGCGTACGTGCGTGCGTGTTGCCGCGTACGTGTGCGCGCGTACGCGAGCGCGAGCGCGTGCGCGCGAGCGAGCGAGCGAGCGAGCGAGCGAGCGAGTATGAGGACGCACGCGTGCTTGGTCGAGTCTCGTGCTTAAGGGCGCTTGTGTGGAGGGGGGATGCGTACGCTCGTACATGCATACGCGCATGCGCGCTCGTGTTGTGTGTGATGCGTGCTCGCGCGTGGAACAGGTATATGCTCCCCGTTTCTTTTTTTCTCCTTTTGATCCTGGCGGTTTTTCCCGTCTCTTTTTATGGGTCTGTCTTTCTCCTTGTCGAAAAGGCGACGTGCGAGGGGGATGGGGGGGGGGAGGGGGCACTGTAGGGCGGCAGGGACTTGCCGGACATTTCCACGCGAATAAATAAACGTCGGGTAGAGAGACGTCCGACGGTTTGGATAGATAATGGAAGCGCGCTTCGAGTCTACCCTACGATAAGGGCTGACGGTTCGGGAGCGCAAAACAGAGACAGCGCGCGTCACTCAGAGCGCTCTCTTCTCAAGACGCGTGAGACGGCCGGGTCGAGAGAGAGAGAGAGAGAGAGAGAGAGAGCGCGATGATAAGTGGAGAATACAAGCGCGAGGCTCGTACAAAGATGATCGCCACGCGATATCGCACAGCTGTGTGGAATCGACATTGATGTCAGTTTGACGCCTGTCGTTACCGTTATCGCTCGCTCGTATCGCCCATCGCGCGTCTACGGCACCGCGACACCAGCTTAGTTGGCACCAGATAAAAAGCGCGATGCAGGCCTTATTACCTCGGAGCCACGGCAGAACGAGTTGGAATTTATTCCGTAATTATATTCTTCAGCCGCTCTCCGATACTCCCCATACTACACTCCTCTCTCTCTCTCTCTCTCTCGCGCGCGCGCGCGCGCGCGCGCGGCTGAGCGCTACGCCACTAATTACCGTGGAATTAATTACCGTGCCGAATGGTGAGATGAGCGATGCCGCGTTCGTGTTGTCCGAATCAGTCCTGCCGAGTCTTCCGAGCAATCGCGGTCCGGGATGCGTTGTTGCAGTCGTCTCGCGCCCCGGGCGCGGTTTTAGATGCTAGATTGCTCGGATCATTGTCCCGCGCGCGATCATAGAGATTAGGGGCTTTCTGGTTGCCCGGATGAGGTATGGACCGTGTATGGATGCACTGTGTGCATTCGTTACAATTCCCGGGCCCTTTTGTTCCCCATGCTGGCGTTTAGCACGGTTTAGCTGGATAATACGTTGATATCATATAATAATACACCGGCGTTGATTTGTGTCGATTATACGTTACCGCCAACAGTTCGACACGTATTTAAGTAAAAGGGATAATGGCACCGTTTGCGGTTCTCTCATATTTTATTCATATTTCGATTGTTAATTATCCACGGAAGAGTATCGTGTTTCAGTGCTGAGTCTCAGCCGACTCAGCGACCAATTCGCGAGTTCACTCGCGGACGTCCGATCAATCTCGTCGTAGTCGAGGAGAAAGACATGCCGCAGAAAGATATCCCTCAACGTTAAATGCGTCGTCTGCCATGTGCGACGCAGGTTCCACTCCAAAGTGTGGATTTTTACGTGTCGGCACGTCGACACCGGCTTGTGCACATGTCATATGCAATGCGCAGGTACTTCTCTGCGCGCCCCTGGGCGACCGGGCAATCGAACAGAGGAAGTTCGAGGGAGAGAATTTACGCTTGCACACGTCTGTTTCGTGCGAGGCCATGTGGGGTTGCCGGGCAGAACGTAATCGGCGACACATATGGCACGCAAACGTATGCCGGCAGGTATGCGTATCGGTGCGTGAGCCAAGCTAACATATGTCGCAGCAGCAGGTTGACCGGATACCGACGTTACTGATTAATCCGTTTAACATCTCGGCGACTTTGTACAATTTTCTCATAGCGGCATCGTGCGTGGAAACAGCAAGATGCTCTCTTGCTCGCAACAGGGATTTCGAACTAGCCATACTTACCACTGCCGCGAATATGTCGGGTGATTCGAATACTCGCCGGGCAGCCATACCTTTACCCAAAACTACCAAAAGGTAGCTGATTATAAATAAGCCACAAGTAACGAGTACATTTAATCGGTATGCCGAGGAGGATTGTATTGAAGTACACGTAAGAGAGTACACGTTGGTACAAACGGTTATTGAGATTATGCGCCGATTATGCGAGGGGAGCATATACCGCATATCACGTCGTAATTAAACTGCACTTTGCATCCGAGCGAGATTAATTAATGAGCAATGCGGCTCATTGCAAGGGTCGCGTAAAAATTTTTGACAAGATGATACTTATCGGAATTTATCTTCCCGATCCATCCTTCCTGAATCCCGTCCCGCGGAAGGGAAGAAAAAGACGGCGTCTACGTGCTCTTTTCGCCGTGCCGGATTAATTCGCGAAATGAGATACCGCTCGTGTGTGCTATGGCATCACCGTTAAATAAACATATGCAACGCGCCTTGCGCACACGCGTGCGCGGGAGACACAACCCCGTTAATCAGGTAATGGGCGATACTCTTTGCTTCGCTGCTTTATTTCTTATTATCCAAGCAACATGGAGTCGAGCAGTATAAATAAAACTTCCTCGCTTACTTCTAACTGACCGCGCGAATTTCGCCTCTCTGGGATGTGTTGCTGCTTTATCGTCAGCAGCATTCGAGATCAGTCCAGAGCTATCTCGTCCGTCTACTGTCGACCCTGAAACGCCGAGACCTCGAATTTGTACGTAGAAATACTAGGAAATCGCGTGACTTTTGCAATTACCCACAACGATAACAAAAATAACATACTGGACGCAAAGCAACTGGACGAGCAATCTCCGTGACAACTGTTGTCGTGAAAAGTCCTCATTCAGGCGCATGAAGAGAAAAGCGTTACGGCCATGAATGCATCGTCACTCTGATCAATGATGCACGACATGTGGATCGCGAATTACTTAATTGCGGTTTTCCAAGTATTTACGTGCACGATCATGTCCATTTTATTGCCGTTGGGGATATTTATTTACGAATGTCCGGTCTACGTATGTCCATCGCACAACAGCATGTACCCGAACATCTGCCTACGATAATACAAAATTATCGTAAAGTAGATGGCTTTACTTTCTTCGATCTGGTGGTATTATTGTTTCGACAGCTTGCTATGCCAGTGTGGAAGGAAAATAAATGAGATTAAAATCTTGGCTTAAATTAAATCAATATAATATATTCAGCGAAGCGAGATCTTATTAATCAGTTCAGCAGTTTATTAATAGCATGCTTTTCCAACCAGACACTGTTTATCTGATTAATTTATCTGATATATCTCGGATCACTTTTAGCACAACGTGTGATGCCGCGAAAGAGTCACTGCACATTTGTTCGTTTTTTCCGGCCGTTCAATTTTATTCCGCGTCATGAGCCTGTGAAGCCAATTATACTGGCTT